TATAAATTTTCATTGGTCAAGTTGAACTATGGAGAACAACGATTAGAGACTGCTTGGAGAAAGTATCAGTCACAGGTATATCAATAGATCTCAATTTGAGGTAGCCGTTTTCTATTGTTCAATTTTTGATACTTTTGCCAGATGCCTCAGTATTTTTTGCAGATAGAGGGCTGCGGTTACATCACGAAAGTTGCCACGAACAGAACTTTCGTATCCGTCTTTGTTCTTGAGGTACCAGGCGAAATCTTATATTCTCACTTTTCGAACACCTCCTGTATCTTGGTTACCTTCTTACCAAGAACAAAACAAGTCCTCATTCAATTGTTCCGTAGATTAATGTAATTTACTCATTTGAGTTCAACTACTTTGTGTATTTCTCTCCAGGATTTCAATTTTTTCAAGCTCATAAGAAATTTTCTACGGTTAGCTTTCTTTACAATTTAGCAGAAATCTTGTGAAGTTTTCCTTGAATCAATAAGCCTATTTGTTCCAATCCTGGCGCTTCCAATAACATTATCTCGATTCCCAAATCCCAGAAAACCTATTAATCACTTACGAAAACTCTACTAAAGCCGCTATAAATCCCAATCAGACCCTCTGGAATAAACGAATTCCCCTATATCATTAAAGACCGTCTTCGAACACTAAACAACGTCAAAACAGGAATAATCTAACAATACCCGCTAATTACTCTAATAAAACAATGATTACTTACAATTCACGACCCACTGCGATGTTCCTTTACCGAACTGGATGTCTGCCGTGGCTGATGTCTGAAGTAGACTGGAAAACAGATGAAAAGCAAGCGCCACCTAGATTCGAGCGTTTTCCAGGATCCTATCGATTTTCCAAGTTCATTCATTTCGGCATGTAGACTCGAAGACTACTAGAACTAGATGCATGGGTAGCCAGTGGAGGGTGGAAAATGGCAGGAAAATGGAGGAGTGAGCTCAGCTTCCGGGGAGATGAAATTATTTTTGTCGTCCCATTTGAGGAGAATTGTTCAGGTTGGATGGTTCTTTTTACCTTCTCCATTGATGTGGATATGTCTTTAACCTCTGATAGATGCTTTGTCAGAATGAAAATGGCTGAAATGATCTAATTGCGTCGAGTGAAAGCAATTCAGAACACTTGTAACAGAGATTATACACTCTAATAGCTCCAAATGTTATAAATATAATGTCGAGAATTAATAGGAAGAATTATTTGAAATTCCAGATTCCAGAAAGTACCTAACTCTTAGGGATTTTTTCTCACGAAGAAAAATTCTGAATCAGTATCACTTGAAACATACCTGTACCGATATTCATCATGACAGGGTCTCCGAAAAAACGTATTATTATTTTTTCAAATAGGTCATCAGAAAATATAGTAGTGGTATTTTTGGGGAGCGAATGACCAATTATTATTAAGGATTACTTCGAACATATCTATATCATTTTTTATCATTCGAATATACAATGTGTCATCAAACAAAGGGTGTCCGAGAAATCGAATTATTATTTTTTCTGATTGATAAAAAAATATTGACTGCTTATTCTTTTTTTTTCTCATACAAATCGTATGATTGAATGATAAAAATCGGAACAGATGTTTTCAAAGTAATCCTCAATAATAGTTTGTCATTAATTATCTTCAAGAATATGACAGTACGATACATTTTCTAATCATGAATACATAAGAAAAAATTGATTTTTTCGACACTCTGTGATTAATGATGATGGGAATCGACACAGGTGTGTTTCAAGTGATCCTGATTCAGAATTTTTGATTATTTTCTCAGTGAAGAATTATTGCTAAATATTGCCACCATTTTTAATTTTTTTCCCCAGACATTGTATATTCGAATGCTGAAAATTGGTACAGTTATGTCTGAAGTACCCCCAAAATAAAAAAAAACGTCGTACCTATATGCTAGGAGCTCCTCCTGCTCTGCTAGGACCATTTTTATAAGGTAGGACCTCATAGGGCAGTGTCATAATTATGAGAAAGATTTTTCTAACTTCAGCTCTGATTAGCTGAGGCTGAGTAGCTCTTTGCCTCTATTTTGCAAATAGTTGATGAACGTTTTCACTTGTTGTTGACCTTCTACTCAACTGTAACTTCCTTTACATAGGAATATTGTAGGAACACATCACTTACAAGATAAATAATCAACATACGTACACCACTGCTTCATAAAGGAACTAAAATTTCATGGAACATGAGTCATGATGTGTTTATATCCTCTGTTAAGGCAGTCTGATAGATTAATTGGATAATGTTCTTGTATTTCGTCAACTACGTTAACTACGATAATGCTACAATGTTCCTCAAAGGCTTTTCATATTGTCCCAAGAGAAGGTCATGATCTACAAAGACTTTATCTTATCGGATTTGGCAGGCTAAGCTATCTCAGTCGAAATTCGTGCACCATACAGCCTCGTTTCCAGAGGAAATGGAGGAAATAACAGGCTGTTGGCGCTTTGATTGACACCTAAATGAAAAAGTTGGAAATCTATAGTCAGCCGAGCGACAAAATCACTCGGAAATTGGACGGAAGATACTAATTGAAAGGAAAAACATCCAGGGTGCCATTTGAAAAACAGAAGTTGGTATTGCTTCTGGTTGAAGCTGATAGTGACTACTTATTTTGGTAGTGAGCTGAACTACTGGGTGAAATTTTTGAGTTAATGTTCAAAAGAAATTGGGTGATTTCACAATTTTTCCCAATAATGACAATGTTTATGACAAATTTTAGTAGATTAGTTGACATCCATATTGGGTTTATCAAATATGAATTGAAGTATTGTTATACCGGGTGACACAGGAGACATGTAGCAGCCTGTAGTTTTTTTAATTGAAGAGATAAAATTTTGAAATTCACAGGGGATATATAATAAATGACAGCGCAATTAACGAACTTAGCGACAATTTTTTTCAACCACCTGTTTGACCGGAAGTGACCCCAACTTTTTTTTTTTGAATATCACCCTGTATATTTCTTCAGTCGATCTTTTTTGCCTTGAAATTCTCTATCCAACCATGTATCACAAAGTGGCATTTATTTCTTAATTCGCTGTTGAATTGCTTTTTATTCAAAAAGAATAAGTTGGCTGTGACATGAATTCATTTGTGTGTTGATTAAAATTGCATATTAACTACATATATAGATCTGGTAACATATCTTAGGTTGGGTTACTAGATCTGGTAACATATCTTAGGTTAGGTTACTAGATCTGGTAACATATCTTAGGTTAGGTTACTAGATCTGGTAACATATCTTAGGTTAGGTTACTAGATCTGGTAACATATCTTAGGTTAGGTTACTAGATCTAGTAACATATCTTAGGTTAGGTTACTAGATCTGGTAACATATCTTAGGTTAGGTTACTAGATCTGGTAACATATCTTAGGTTAGGTAACTAGATCTGGTAACATATCTTAGGTTAGGTTACTAGATCTGGTAACATATCTTAGGTTATGTTACTAGATCTGGTAACATATCTTAGGTTAGGTTACTAGATCTGGTAACATATCTTAGGTTATGTTACTAGATCTGGTAACATATCTCAGGTTAGGTTCGTTTCTTGAATACATTTTCCGTCTCTATTAATAATATGCAATTTTAATCAACACACAAATGTAAAAGAAAAATTATTGATGCAATCGATTAACTGTCAAACACATAAAACATTTTGTGTAGGTACACCGCCTACTAAGTGAAATAATTATGAAAAAATAGACTGATAGCCCTGTGGATCATCGTATAAGAGGCTCAATTTTAGTTTTATTATTCCAAAGGGGAAAATCATGTGATAAGTTCATGGCGAAAATAAAAGACAGATAGTTTCTGTACGAGTAGCTGAATTCGAAAAAATATGTACCTATCTTAGATTCCTCAATATCATGAGTTATTTTCGAAGGTTTTCATCTTGACTCAAACAAGCTATTGACAACCTGCAGACATTGATCAAAATATCAAAACATTTTGAATAATATCATCGAATTCATGTGACAGCCAACTTATTCTTTTTGAATAAAAAGCAATTCAACAGCGAATTAAGAAATAAATGCCACTTTGTGATACATGGTTGGATAGAGAATTTCAAGGCAAAAAATATAGACTGAAGAAATATACAGGGTGATATTTAAAAAAAAAAGTTGGGGTCACTTCCGGTCAAACAGGTGTTTGAAAAAAATTGTCACTAAGTTCGTAAATTGCGCTGTCATATATTATATGTCAATTTCAAAATTTTATCTCTTCAAATAAAAAAACTACAGGCTGCTACATGTCTCCTGCTGTGTCACCCGGTATATCAAAATTTATGTAATACTCTATTCGTGATGTCATCATACATGAGATTTAAAATAGTAATTAACGTAACAAGTTCGGAAAATACTGTTTTTTTGGACGAGTAGACAAATATCTAGGCCGAGCCGTAGGCGACTCCTGGAAGTCTGCGAGTCCAAAAAAACTGTTTTTCGACGTGTTGTGTACACTATTTTTTCGGCAACCATGTAGAATATCAAATCAATGAGACACATTTCCATATATATTTCTTTGTAGATTACAATTTCTTCTTTATCAATTCTCATTTGTATCAAATACTGAAATTTGAACAGAATATACCTATACCTACTAACTGTTACATTGGAAATTTCGTATAAGTATGGACATTTTCAAACTCACTATCGCAGCTGCTTCCGATGTTTATTGCGATAATTGCAACCAAACTATCAGAAATCAAAATGTCAACTAATTTCATGACAAATAGCTGTCAGCCGATATTTCGATGCTATGGTAATTATCATCTGCATTTATCAAAACCATATCTACAAAGATTTTCATAGTTACAGTGGCTACAACGATGTGAAGAAGGCACTATAGCACCAACTCACGGGTAATTTCAATTGCTGTTCAATTGAAACAGAATAACTAGGTAAGTAGTCACTGCACCTGCTATCTGAAAAGTGAAGAAATCAATATAGCATATCTTGATATTGATTCAAGCTGTTTATTAATTTACCGATGTCAATAGAGACCTGTTGATTTTGAAATATCCACAAGAAGAGAATTTGAGTTTACAATAGCTATGCTGCAACGAAAATAGTGTAACCTGAAAAAAAAAAACATGATCAAATTTGAAACAGTTATAAGCGCAATGATCTAATAATTTACAACTAGATAGATCTTAGAATGAGAGGAATTATAGTCAGAGACAGTAGTTTTAGAAAAAATAAACTATGAAATTCAGCACAATGTGAAAAAAAAAAAAAGATATTTTTTAAAAATCTGTATTCCTTCTAGAAGAAATAAATAGATTTCCAAAAAAAATTATCCCGTTAGAACACGACGGAAAATCGTCAGCAGTACTGACATCATAAGTACTATAACACGCTGACCGTCTATTGGTCGTCGAGAAATTTCGATGTTGCTATTCAGTCAGATATACAGCGTTGCCGTCTCAACAGATTCTTTAGCATATTTGGATATTTTAACATTCATCGCTCTCAAATTTTTACTGACTTCAACAATGTCATAGATCAAAGTGCTCAAAGTGGATTGAAATGTTGAATAAATACAAAAAAACTCAAATTCATTTCCCCAAATGTTCAATGGTAGATGACGGGAGTAAAATAACTAATTTCCTTTCCACGGAGAGCAGAACATTGCATAACGAATACTAATGCAAGTGTTTCTTTCCTTAATGCCTATTGATTTCGATTTAGCCAGGTTAATGCAACGACAACCTACAGACCGGTTTCGAGCTTTTGGCTCTCATCAGTGTAGGGTAGTCTCCAACTAGCAGTCAGATGACCACCGGTAAGCGTAACTTTATTTGTAGTCTCAGAGGAATCTCTCATGGGCAACATGAGTGTCACGCCATCTAGACTAAAATGAAAGAAACACTCCACAAAACTGATATACCCATTTCATTAGGAAATATTTATTGCCACTCATATCAGTTTTGTGGAGTGTTCCTTTTCTTCTGTCTAGATGGCTTTACACTCATGTTGCCCATGAGATACTCTTCTAAGACTACGAATAATGCTGATTGGATTTTGTTGAGCCAGGTTACGCTTAGCCACTTGGAAAAAGTAATGAAACATCGAATTATATTATTGTATTTGCCACGTCGAACATTGAATTATATCTGATGAACATTCAAAAGGAGAACATGAAAAATCTTCAAATCGGATGAATAATATGATGTATATAATGATATAGAAATATAACCTACCAATATATTCAGCATTGAATAGCCAGGAAAGTAGTTGTTTTCTGTTGAATATTCAGAATGATGTGTGCATATACATATTTTTGTCTGAAGGAGAATGCAAATTCCTAATTTCAGAAGTTTTTTTATATATTTTATTTTCAAACTCTTATCGTGTGTGTTCAATAGATATAATTCAATGTTCGTCGTGGCATATAGCCAGAAAAGTAGTTGTTTTCTATTGAATAAACTGAAAAAGAGTAGATATTCTCATCACATATAGAGAATGCGAATTCTCAATGTATTGCTTCATTTAAATATATATCCATTTTTGTATGTCCATAATTTATCTGAGAATATTCCTTTTCAACACTTTCATACCCAATCAGGGGGTTCAAACTTGAACGATGGAAACTTGTGATTTTTATAGACCTCTATAATCGCAGATTCGTGATAGAGTCTCAATTCAGAATTTCTTTCCACGTCCTGTATGATGAATGTAAATTTATCATACACCCAAAAGTATTAATGTCCTGTTTTCACATGACTATGAACATTTGATATGCTGTTAGATGACAACTCACCACTTTTTTCAGTTCTTCATCAAGTTCACAAGTTAACAGATCACATAATATGTTCAATGTTTTCTTGTGCTGGAAAAAAAAAGGAAAATATATTGAAATCAGATTAGATTAGGTTAGGTTGTGGAACTTCGTTCACCGCCTACATAAAGCGTTCTGACTGAAGAAAAATTCGAAAGGAGAAGGCATAACTTAGAAGGTAAGCCATATGATTGTACTTGATGAACAAGTCGATTCTTGGTGCCATGCAAACCCGGATATGATGAAGCTTTGTGTATCTGTCATCGTAGCAACTGGTGGTGTTATATAATTTAATATTAATGGTGCCCTAGAATTACGTTACTCCGGGACGTATAATCATGCAGATAAAAATAAGAAAAATTCTCTCCATCAACATGTGTCTGAAAATACTTCCTAAGAGAGCTACAGCTCTTTGAAGGTACAATTATCTGTGTTGGTACCAGTGATCCTAGAATCACGAAATCCAGTACCTGAGGGTAATATGATCCTAAAAATCTTACCGAAAATGTGATATGATATACAGAGAGGTGTGAAACTCGTAACCGATGCAATGAGAATGCCCATTTTTTGTCAGGCTTCATTTTATTTTTAGTGTACTATAGAATACGATTCTTCAACACTCTTATATAAAGAATTATACAATTTTTAGATTGATGTTTAACGATCCGTTTGCGAGAAAAAATATTATTGAATATTGAGTGTCTATACTAGTACCTCTTCAATGCATAGTTGGCAAGGCTCTACGATAATCAGTACTCTTCCAATATGGCCTAAAATGAAAAAGGTTTGCAGCATCATGACGATCAGACTACCATTGGTCGATAATATCTCTATCAGCAGGAAATACGGAGTCACTATCAAGTGCAGCAGGCAGCTCAACATCAGGATCTGGGAATAAATTAACCACCAGGAATAATTGAAAACATGATTTATTGATGAACATTCAGTATATAGAGTGAAATTCCAAAATTGATTCTTCAAAAGTGTCTTCGAATATATCTCGGACAATGTTTTGCTCGAAATAGTAACAAGTGCGGAAATGTCACTTTACGCACATGGTACGTAAATTTTACCTGCTACCAATATGTTATTTGAAACATTACGACACTGATTTGAGTTTCGCACTTGATCGGTTAAGTGAAAAAAAAAATTCTCAAATTCCTGTTATTCTCTCAAAATAAGAAATAGATAGATAGATAGATTCTTTATTGCTCTCAAAGACATTACAGTCCTATAGCAAGGATTCGGGTAATTCCTAATAAGAAAGAAGAACTAATCATTCATAAATAGCAGGTACTTCTCAGGTTTGAATTGCCTCTTTTGGCGCAATTTCTATATCTGAATCGATACTTTCGTGATCAGAATTCATGTCAATAATTTTTTTCTGAAATTGAAATTAACGCGTGTAAGTTGACAGTTCACAGAATGAGTGACAACCGAACACAACAGATTCACGACAAGTAGGAATATTAACATATTTTTGATTAAATAATTAGCGTTTTTGGTAGGTAGTAGGTAAAATATCTGAGTCTTTAAGATACTCGTGTCGTAAATATTCATTTTCTATAATCCTATATACTTACGTGTATTCCATATTCAATTGAATTATTAACGATATCAACGGCTTCAACAATTTTCTCGTGATATTTTGTCAATGCCATAAATTCTTTTACTGAAAAACAAAACAATAAAACCGAGGATATAATTCTATATATTGCATCGTAGAAAAAGGCTCATATTGATATGATAAAGAATCATGTAGTTTATTCAATTGGCTGAACAAATGTGAAGAAGATCATTGCAGAAACAGAAAAACTTGTATGCTTACCCAAAGTTTTGGAACTTTCAAACTTCAATTCATTAGTTACTGACGATGACAAGAATTGAAGTGTTGTAGTTGTAGAAATTACATCCAGACTCCGCTGACCAACAAGTTCCATGGCATTAATATGGGCATTAGTCGACGCTCTATGTTTGATATCCAATAAATTATTATTCAGCAAAGAAATCTTGATTTTTATCAAGAAAACCACATGCCAGAAAAATACTCCTTTCATGATGACTATGGCATAGAGAAAGTAGAAACCTAAATATTCTCTGAAATAGGTGAAGGGATTTCGACCTGCTTCATTCAGTTTACGAAACCATGAAACTATGTCACAGCTGAAGAGAATAGAAAAAGTTGAAATCACGATAAGCAAGAAGTAGATTGACGCCATTGTGAATTTCCTTGGAGATTTGATTGGAATCATCTTGTCTGCCTGTAACATTCATGAACATAACATAAAACTAACAATAACTACTGATGACTCTTCTTAAGGATGATCACTATGCCCCCTCACCTGGTTCAAGCAGTTCATCAACTTCCAAAATTTCCGAATTTTGAATGGCAATGTGATTATTCCAAAACACACAATGAGTATCACTATGCTAATGTCACAACAGGTGACGAATTCTGTTTTTGTATTGGTCATCCTAAGAGAATTTTCTGCAACTTCTTTCATATCTCTCATCATACCGGTCAAGGTCCAAATAACTAGAATGAAATCATACAAATTTGGATTACTAGACATGACAATGTAACCACCAGAATTTCGATTTCTAAAAACTCACTTAAGGTGAGAGACAATAGGTAGCTATAAATGGCATAAATATTGGACCATTTCAATCTATAGTAGGCTCCAAATCTCTTGTAACTAATGGGGAACAAACCGAATAGTCTTGAGGTGAGAAGCAAAGGTTTCATAACAGAGAATGTTTCCAAGGATACCTGCAAATCTTCGACAATCATATCAATATTGCATCGTCTTCCTGAAAAATATAAATCAGATATTTGCCAGCTTGGAGTGTTGTTGTTGAACAAAATAATAATGAGAATGGACACAACTTATTGATGCATGATCAGAAAGAGCACCTATAATTTCCGGATTAAAATCACACTGTCAAAGGTTTCGTAGATATTTCCCATTGTATACATAAGGGGTAAATACCGTCACAGATGACATACATCCACCGATGGGTATTAGTTTTACTATTCACTAACATACCCACCCTTATTTTTCTCAGGGATGATTACCTACTACCGAACAACCTTATCGGGTATAGTGAAATGAGAGGACACAATAGTAGATTGTTTTATTATAGGATCAAGAATGACACTTTGTTTGACAAGCGAATTTTGCATTTGCGAGGCGGAACGTTTAGCGAAGCCGAGCGAAAGCAAAATTTGCGAGTCGAACAAAGTCACTTTTGATCCGAATGAAACATGCTATTTTTTCTGCAACCGAAACAATTAACTCAAATAAACATGTGAAGTAACCACCAATGCCGTGCCATATGTATGCAATTCAACAAATATTGACAAATAATCCGTGTGGTGAGAATATTCTACCTGCATTAACAGCAGGTTAGGTTTTCAAGGATGTTCGAATTGTAGTTTCGATATGAATACAACCACAGAGTGACATATTTGTGTATGGACCAGGTGCTCTAATGGCAAATACCGCGCCAGTGCCAGCTATAGGAACAAGACGTGGAAAATGTTAGGTTAGTAAGTATATCAACAATGATAATAGTGATTATTTATTCCTCTCCATACTACACTGTGTTTGACTTGATAATCAAATGAAGCTAAACAATATCGTTGTTTGAGACAAAAAAACTATTGCTTGCCGTGATTATTCAAAACAAGTTATCCATCCCGAGAATAACGAATGAAATATAGATCAAGCAAGTATTTGAAACTTGGAGGCTTCCCTGATCAAAATAAAAATACTTAACTGAGATGTTTATAATTTCAATACTTAACTATAATAAGGTGTATTTATATCTCCAGCATGGGTATGAAATGCCAAATCTGCTGAAATCGGAAACAAATCAGGTATGCGTCTCAACCCAAATAACCAACCGTCACAATGTTGTTTATTCTTGATGACGTCTAGTACATCCTTTTTAGTTCCTAGGAGCTAAAGTTCAACTTTAGCTCCTAGGAACTAAAATTCAACTTTAGCTCCTAGGAACTAAATATGTTGCCTAGCAACATACCTATGTTTGTGTCAGTAATAGAAACGTCAATTTAAGAGCTAATTTTGGGATCAAAATGGACGACTTTTGTGTCGGTTGCAGAAAATAAATATTTTAGTTCGTAGTGTATTCACCCCTCATACACACATTACAATACAACACAATGAAAAACTACCGAAGTGAATTTAAATTTGAATTTGATTTCGACTATTTAGCTACTTCAGCTTCTAGAATTGAAAGAAAGTACTTCTTTTTTTCAGTTTAAATGTATAGTTGTAGTGTAGAAACTTGATTTAAGGTGTGGTTGCAAAAAATTTTTGAGTAATACCACAGCCGTCTTCAATTATACATTTCCATGTCACTCACCTATTTTTACAGTTGAAGAACTTTATTGCCATCGGTAGGTATTTCTGAGCATTAGCCCTGTGAACTTTCTGACGAAAGAGGCCAACTCTTTCCTCTGAATGAACAAAATAACCTCGAAAACAACAAAGCTTGTGAATTTTTCATTAATGAAAACACTTTTTCCAGTAAATATTTTCCTAGATTCCAATTTATACATACTTCGTAAACATGTAATTATTATTCTCATCCACAGCACTTCGCTTGTTGAATTTATGATGTCGCCATGAAAAATACTATAGATTCTGAATAATCGAGTTAGCGTGAAAGTGAAAATGATTATTGAAATTGCTAGAAGAAACATAGTATATATATCTTTATATATGGAGATTGGATCCGTTCACTGTTATGTAACATTATATGATACCCAGCGAGCACAAACATCCCTGGGATGTTTTGGGATGTTTTGAAAATGTTGGCATGAAGATGTTATTTTGAGACGTAATATGCACTGATCAAAGAGGTCTTTGAAGGATATTGAAGTATTGTTTTCGTTCTTCTGTGGCACTTCTTTGTTTGCCTACTTAGAGGTATCCCTGGGATGTTTTGGGATGTTTTAGAAATGTAGGCATGAGGATGTTTTTTGAGGCGTAATATGCACTTCCCAAAGAGGTCTTAGAAGGATATTGAAAGTATTGTTTTTGTTCTTTTGTGCCCTTTCTTTGTTTGCCCCACCACAACGTCTCATGCTTACGTCACAATACGATGAATTCTGATTTGTTTTCGATTTTGTTCTTCTTGTTCGCAATTGCCATTCGCGTTTGCAGCGTGTCACGCTTACATCACGCTGCTAATGAACAGAAAGGAATTTGGTGAAGTTTATTGTGTTAGAAGACTTATTTAGTTTGTAATAATGACCATCAGATGCAAGATGTGTTGTTCGGTGCCTCAGTGTAATCAATATATAAAAGTACGAATTCATCAATACACAGCTTCTCCGCAGTTGCAAAATAATGCATTGTGGAGAACATTTCAAAAATTGAGAAACCTATTTCCAATTATATGTCTGTGTGTAGTAAGCACTACTCAGAAACCGATTAAGAAGGTAATTTCATATCAAGAAAATATTTTTATTTTCAATCTATTTTTAATGCATTTTTTCATTCCAGGGAAATGGAATCCTAATGCAAAAGTTCATTTTGACAAAAGGCTTCAGAAAAGTACCTCGAAAATGTTTTTTTACAGCGATTTAATGTGCGCAAGACGCGTTGAAAATGTTCTGTTGTGTCCATGAAAAGGCTTTAAAAAGAACTAGGGAGGAGGTAGTTTTGTGACATATCAAGGACATCTCGATAATTGCCGCCTGCGGCGGACATTGGCTGTTCTATAATAGTTCTATTCATGTGTGAACAGAACATCGCAGTGGAGGTTCAATGTCTCGAAATCTCGTAGTTTTAACATCTCTGAGATGTTTTTGTGCTCGCTGGGTAATAGAATAGAATAAATGAAACAACTGTATACAATGTCTAAAAATAATATATTTTCAACTAATACAAAATAGAATAAATAAGAAATATCACTACATCATTACATAGTCATTGTATTATTGTAGGAATTAAAATAAGTTAAAATAAGCTATACAAACTAAAATCTAGATGATGGTCTCAGAACATAGAACCGAAAACAAGTGATAGTATATACCAACACAACCTCAACAGCAAAAATCCGAGTACAGTTTTCAATGTTATGTGTGCCCAATACAGCCTGAAAAAAAAAAATAGACTTCAGATTATTGAATCAATGCAGCAGACTTAAGTACCTATTATAGAAGATCTGAAGTTTAATTATTGTCATGCCTTGAAACACCTGAAGAAATAATATGAAAGACAAATCCATTCCATAAGATATGAAATGAGTTTTTATGTACAGGAGTGAAATTATATATTATTTGATGCATTTAAGGATGAACCATATTTTCCATTCATCGATAACTGACGAGACATCCTCATATACCTTTTTTCGAAAGCTGTTGTTTCATTCATTATTTGAAATATTTGAATATATGTTTAATTTCAACTGACGCATTATAAGAGGTGTATACACAAGAAGTAGTTAACTATTTCAACTAGTGAATCTTCAGTTCTATCGAAATACATCTCTATATATTCTCGTCCCATTTGCAAATGTCTCTTAATTTTTTGGGTATTCGAATGGACGATAAAACCATCTTTTTGGGAATTTGACAAGTCAATAACAACACATTCAGTTAATAAAAAAATATTATTTTGATCCAATATTCAATATTTCGACATTTTATATTTAGAAATTATGTCAGTGGTGACAAGTGAGGTGTCTTTAGATCTTCAATAGGCACAGCATTCAAATTTTTCTCGCAACCCTGTATCTTTGGGCATACAATTCTGATAATCTGTTCATTTGTGACATTTCTCCAAACAATGGGTCTTCAAGAAATAATGTTTTAGTATCCTCGTGGGGAATGACTATCATTCCGTGGTCGTTAAATAATATACTATGCATAAGAAAGGGTACTAGTTTTTCCCAGCACTAATGTATATACTTTACCTTCTCCACCTAACTAGGGCTTCTTCAATGTTATCTGTAGGGTCTTTTATCAAGTACGTCCTGACTCCAAACAGATATTGGTTGAAGAACTCTTCCCAATCAAGTTTTTTGAGATCGCTGAAGAAAATCTCGTTGTCCATGTCAGACATTTTATGGCACAGCTTTTGGGCATAATCGGACTTGAATATCCACGTCTGCGTCGCGAAATACGAGATAACTGAGGAGAATTTGTGGATTTTTGAGTAAACTTTCATCATCCTGAAATCCAGAAATATATAAATTAGTTCATATTGGTCACATGAATATTTGTCTGGAAGTGTCATCATGATTTTTTGAACTTCTAGCGAGTAGTGTACACAAATGCTCAAATGATCCTAGCAGTCCTAGCAATTTTATGATCCACTAGTCAATAAATTGAAATTGAATTGACGCTTTCTGAAATAAAACAGGAAAAGGTGTAGTTGATGATAAAGACATAATTACCTCTGTTATAATTAACCCGAATTAACTGTTCAGATGCATAATTTGCAGGAATGGCACTCGAATCTAGTCCGTATCTATTTTATCAATAACGATTCGTCATAATGCTGTCATGATCATGACCACTAGATTTTAATTAGAATTGGAAAGAAGTGCTTTCATAGTGATAACAAGTATAAATTTCTGTTTCACAGAAGTATAAGGAATGAAATATATTGGTAGTGGTGAAGAAAAATCAATATACACCTTGGTAGTAGAAAATATACTATTACCAGGTATTACTTTTACTTACTTTGGTTGCTTTCCAATACATAATAACGCTCCATCCACAATGATGGCTGGAATTGTGTGTATCAAAAGGGTTGTGAGGAAGTACAGTAAATACGATTTCTGGAGTCGGAAACTGAAATACCATATAGCCTTCGCAGACGGTGCTCTCATTCCATTTTGAACGGACGAGAACATGAAATATTTCCAAGTTATTGGCTGTAACAAAAAATAAAGAATCAAAAACCAAATCCTAGTGGTACTGATGAGACTTGAGAAGCCGAAGCATCAGTAAGGTGACCTATCTATTTGCAAAAAACCTTACTCTCTTATTTACATAACTCAAAATATAAGCACGCATAAAATCTACATAATAATATGTGTGTATATGACACCATACATAGGTATACACGCCTGGCAAAAATAAAATATAGTGCTAGCGACGATGTTCAAATCAACCCGTAATTGAGAAGAACGCCTAGGGAATGCCTTATCACAAGCGCCCTCGACTACTCATCGGTAGAAGCCGTCCTGAGTGAATAAAAATGTGTTTGAGTGCCTCCATTTAGAATCTGAAAATATAAAATTATTTTTGCCTAACGAGTATATGTTCACGATACTGTACAACCAAAGTATCGTTTCGCGCACTGAATAGAAAAGTGACTATTTTAAATGATTATTTGCTGTTGATATTTCAAAATTTCAGTTGAAAAATGTCAAGCGATGACGATGAGATTATTTTTCACCATCAGAAATTCTGGAAAAAGCAAAAATGGCAACAAATGAATTGCTACCCGTGGAGTCTCGTGAAAGATACGAAATCCTTTACAAAATATTCATGGACTGGAAACTCGGAAAATATTCTATTACTTTCAACAACTACACAGTGACTATAAATAACGATAAATGATTATTTTATATGATTATCGAATGTGTTATTATGTTGTTATGATATGAAGAAAAACCGGCTTCATTTTAGTTCAAATTGAGGAAAATGGCTCGGTATGCAATTTTCCAATATTTCAATCTGTACTATCCTGAAGGAAGAACAGTGCAGTCGCAGCAACAGTATAGTACATTTCTTGAGTTGTAAAGCAATTCTGCTATTTCCAACTCTTGTTATGTAGAGGCTGCAACACAATTGAAGTTTTATATGTTAATAGTGTCAAGTCTCATAATTTAGTATATAAGTATTATGAAATAAACACACAGGTCCTTGTGGCGAACAGCAGAACACAAATTTATGAATTTGGAAATGGGTTCCATGTTTTAAGATACGGACGTGATGATTCTTATGATTTAAAATTTAGAAACTCAACCAATTACAGCAATTCTTCGTCAAAAAAGTATAAAAAGAATGCACATTGTCATGATTATAATTAATTTTTTCTGCAACCGACACAAAAGTCGTCCATTTTGATACCAAAATAAGCTCTTAAATTGACGTTTCTATTACTGACACAAAAATAGGTATGTTGCTAGGCAACATATTTAGTTCCTAGGAGCTAAAGTTGAATTTTAGTTCCTAGGAGCTAAAGTTGAACTTTAGCTCCTAGGAACTAAAAAGGATGTACTGGACGTCCTAAAGAATAAACAACATTGTGACGGTTGGTTATTTGGGTTGAGACGCATACCTGATTTGTTTCCGATTTCAGCAGATTTGGCATTTCATACCTATGCTGGAGACATAAATACACCTTATTATAGTTCAGGATTGGAATTATAAACATCTCAGTTAAGTATTATTGTTTTGATCAGGGAAGCCTTCAAGATTCAAATACTTGCTTGATCTGTATTTCATTCGTTATTCTCGGGATGGATAACTTGTTTTTGAATAATCACGGCAAGCAATAGTTTTTTATCTCACACAAAGATATTGTTTAGCTCCATTTGATTATCAAGTCAAACACAGTGTAGTATGGAGAGGAATAAATAATCACTATCATTGTTGATATGCTCACTAACCTAACATTTTCCACGTCTTGTTCCTATAGCTGGCACTGGCGCGGTATTTGCCATTAGAGCACCTGGTCCCTACACAAATATGTCACTCTGTGGTTGTATTTATATTGAAACTACAATTCGAACATCCTAGAAAACCTAACCTGCTGTTAATGCAGGTAGAATATTCTCACCATATGGATTATTTGTCAATATTTGTTGCATTGCATACGTATGGCACGGCATTGGTGATGGTTACTTCACATGTTTATTTGAGTTAATTGTTTCGGTTGCAGAAAAAATAGCATGTTTCATTCGGATCAAAAGTGACTTTCGCTCGGCTTCGCTAAACGCTCCGCCTCGCAAATGCAAAATTCGCTTGTCCAACAAAGTGTCACTTTCGATCCTAATAAAACAATCTACTTTTATTATACCGACATAAAAACCGAAAATAATACTCTGAAATTACTGAATGTCCCGAGGAGAATCAGCAAAGTGGAGAATATTCTTGTTTCTGGAAAGCCTCTGACACAACCTAATTGGTGGAATTCCAACTTTTGTTTTGATTCTGTTTCAAATCTTGACTTTGAACTTATTGCATAAATTTTCGATTGTCTCGCAGCCTTAATATACCATTTCCATGTAGTAGAACGCTACTTACGTTATCACAACTACTTTCGAAGTTACATATGGGGATCTCGTAGGCCGTGTCCGCCTCTTTAGCCTCCCTGAACCTGTTGCTGACGTCCCAGGCCTCGGCAATCATGGAGTTGACGCACATATCGACGGGTATGATGTTGGCGTTGGAGTCCGGATCGCAATGTAAGGTGCGGATGAGACCGATACCGGCCCCAGTTGCGACCCCTGTGGCACCGTACATGTTGTTGATCCAGCCTTTGATGGGCTCTCTGTAGGTGGAGACCACTGAAAATAATCGGGAGATTTATGATGGGCCTTCGTGGCAAAACACCGACCGAGAAACGGATTCTTCTACTCGACTAATAGGTATTTATTGTTTAAGTGTTTTACATTGCATTTTATTTCGAATTGTATCTGAAACCTGAAAGAATTACAACGGTTCATTCACAATCATATTCATATAGAATCAGACCCAGCGAGCACAAACATCCCTGGGATGTTTTGAAAATGTTGGCATGAAGCTGTTATTTTGAGACGCAATATGCACTGACCAAAGAGGTCTTTGAAGGATATTGAAGTATTGTTTTTGTTCTTCCGTGGCATTTCTTTGTTTGCCTACTGAGAGGTGTCCCTGGGATGTTTTGGGATGTTTTAGAAATGTAGGCACGAGGATGTTTTCTTGAGGCGTAATATGCACTTCCCAAAGAGGTCTTAGAAGGATATTGAAAGTATTGTTCTTGTTCTTTTGTGCCCTTTCTTTGTTTGCCCCACCACAACGTCTCATGCTTACGTCACAATACGATGAATTCTGATTTGTTTTCGATTTTGTTCTTCTTGTTCGCAATAATTGGCATTCGCGTTTGCAGCGTGTCACGCTTACATCACGATGCGAACGAACAGAAAGGAATTTGGTGAAGTTTATTGTGTTAGAAGACTTATTTAGTTTGTAATAATGACCATCAGATGCAAGATGTGTTGTTCGGTGCCTCAGTGTAATCAATATATAAAAGTACGAATTTATCAATACACAGCTTCTCCGCAGTTGCAAAATTATGCATTGTGGAGAACATTTCGAAAATTGGGAAACCTATTTCCAATTATATGTCTGTGTGTAGTAAGCACTACTCAGAAACCGATTAAGAGGGTAATTTCATATCAAGAAAATATTTTTATGTTCAATCTATTTTCAATGCATTTTTTCATTCAAGTGGAATGGAATCCTATGCAAAAATTCATTTTGCCAAAAGGCTTTAGAAAAGTACCTCGAAAATGGTTTTTTTACAGCGATTTAATGTGCGCAAGACGCGTTGAAAATGTTCTGTTGTGTCCATGAAAAGGCTTCAAAAAGAACTAGGGAGAAGGTAGTTTTGTGACATATCAAGGACATCTCGATAATTGCCGCCTGCGGCGGACATTGGCTGTTCTATAATAGTTCTATTCATGTGTGAACAGAACATCGCAGTGGAGGTTCAATGTCTCGAAATCTCGTACTTTTAACATCTCTGAGATGTTTTTGTGCTCGCTGGGGAATCACCGAAATTTTCCACTTAAAATTACACAAGAGCTTCATGTTCATTCTGTAAGTCAATAAATAAAAATGGTGGAATAAAGTAATTTCATTACCCCACCAGTTGATAAAGTGGTACTTCTTACAGTTCATAAGTATGGATTTAACTTCTTCAATTATGAAGTGATTGTGGATAAAGTGTACTAGTGATTTTGATCGATGTATTGTGTTCATTTCCTGACTTTGAAATTGATGTTTATGTGATGATATATAGTCGATGGTCTTAATGAAATGTAAATGTAAATATTATTGATAATTGAGTGAAATGATCGATGTATTGTGTTTATTCCCTAACTTTGAAATTAATGTTTATATTGGCAATATACCTATTGATGGTCTTATGATTCCTACGGGTAGACCTTCTCCACACTGTCTCACTACATCTTCAGCTACCTGTTTTGTATAAGCATAAGTGTTTGGGTATTTATCCAACAACCTGAAAAAAAAAAATTAATGTCAATACACTGCTATTCGTCTCTCACAGAGAATCAACTGAGGAAATTGATCTCTAATTCCTCTTAGTTTTGAAATTCAGTTATTGGATTTTTTAAATATTATTCAGCAAAATATTTTGGTAGATCGATCAATATATTTTGTTATTTTAACATATTCAATCTCTGGAAAACGAAAAATTTTGTCACTTGAATGAAATTATATTCAAGAAAATCATTCAACTGAATCGTTCATAAGAGCAGATATTGTATTATAGGAACCAATTCCTGCTGTTGATTTGAATCATTAATAAGTAACATCAAATGAATTTTGAATTGAAAACTGCCAAAAAACATTTGTTGCGGTGACAAAATATTTTGTCGTGGATATATGACACTCAGATTTTGTTGAATTTACAAAAATTTTGTAGTTTCAAACAATTTTTATTTCTGTGCATATTCTACAGACATTAGCCTATGTTATAATTGATAAACCTTACTTCAAGAATTCTGATATTTTAATTAGTTTTATTTGGCCCAAGATAGACCTGCATTCAAAAAATTATTGAAATTGGATAATAAATTCCATGTGTTTACCTTCCTTCGCCACTCAGCATAATATTTCCCTTCTGAATATACTTGGATTAAAAGTAAATTAATTTATTCCATTTTAAAAATTCATAGCGTATTGAAAGTTCGTCAATGTATAATTCGCAAACATCCCGTACACAAATATTAATTCTAAATGAAGGAAATTCTTGCAAATCACATTACCCAATCCCAATATGATAAATTTACTTGATATTCCTCGTCCCTTTATATTTGAAAAATCTGCTGATATGGATAGAGCTACGTGAGATGAATAATGTGGAGTAATGCTCCTATTGTTTGATAGGCTCATCGAAATCCATGCACGTATCAAGAATGGATAACGAGAAAATGAAAATAAGTCAGTTTATACACATTTCGTTACATGATGAAAGCCCATCAGTGAATGTAAAAAGCTCCACAAACGGTAGGAACCTAACATTGACTTTCCCGACTCGTATGTATACAGGGTGTTTGGTTCACCGACGTATATCTGAAAGGAGGTCATAGGTGGGATGATTATGAACATATTTAACCATAAACACTATTATACAAAGTGTTCCGCATTTCGAGATATCATCGATTTTCATTCAATCTTATTGAATATTTTTCCCCTGTAAAGTAGAGTCTCCAGTTGATCGATGTGAAGCAGTGATTTCAAAAAAATTTTGGCTCATTTGAATTTACGTAACGAGTTACTGTGATACCCAACTCTGACCTCAAAAGCAAAAAAAAAATTAAGTTGTCTAAATAAAACATTTGTTCGAACATTGTCAAAAACTTTCTTTATCTTCGTCCTGTTTATCAATATATTATAGTCCATCACTACATGTCATTTCTTTTATTTCGAGTGTAAACTTCAACTGGAATAAATTCCCAAGAAGAGAGGTGAATATATATATTTTTTCAAATATCCGAGATATGTCAACGTTTTAATACAACGTTTTTCACGGGGAATGATGGAACATCTGGAAAGCAGATTTTTCTGGCTCTCCAGCCGTCTTAAACGAAACATTTTAATTACCTGACTTCTCTGATGTTTTCTAATTTTGTAAACTCTCTTTTTTGATGATTCTAATGTGACTATTGTACTGCACAGTCTGATGATAGCCGTTGTGCCGAAACCGGTCACTGTTTTTTAATCTTACTTTTATATAAAGTGTGGTCGACCGACATTGAAATTTGTGTTTTTCTTTCAAAATACATTGGACCACTTAGAGTATGGAAGATTTCTACGATTTACATAATGATCTAGTCATGTTATGGCCATCTAGGGGCGTTAGTACTAAGGTAGGACCCTGCAATCGTGGCATACGCTATGATGCTGCCATCTATAGTCAACACGTGCAGACTCCTACGCCTACAACGCTGCAAAGTAGAACAAAACGTAAACCAGTCTGCTGATAGATGGCACTACCTGACTACTTGAGTAAAAGATCCACCAATCCTATTCATTGAACTAGATCTCATAACTAAGGGATCTAGATTTCTTAGTTATGAATTCTATTTCAATACTTTCATCAATTCAATTTCAATTGATTCTAGGTAATATTGAAAAGATAAATATTTTTCATTGAATGTTATAGGGTATATATATTCTCAGTGTTAGATATCATATGTTTTTTCTATACTTAACAGGTAAAATAATTGAATGTTCTGTGGTGCCATGAAGTAGTTGTTTTCTTTTGAATATTCGAACAATAGAGCTATTGTACCTTTCACAATCTCATTCATATTAGTTGGGTATTCCGAATATTTGGCAAAATTCAATATTCTGTAGAATTAGCCAATGGGGAAGACCACTGAGGAGAGAAATCCGTGCAAACCGCTTTCAATCGACGAATCATGATTTACATTTTATGTACAATCAATATTATGAGTTGAAGTTGAAGGGAATCGATTCTATATCGTTTTGAAATCAGCATATTTCATTCGATATTTCAAACAGCCAAATATGATGGTGGAGTCGTGACGTATTAGTCCCGAACTGTAGCTATCTCTCTCTGATACTTCGTCATTCGGCAGTGTGATTAGTCAGTTCAAGGACGATAGGCGTGTTGGGAATAAGACGTCGCACCAGTCACACCAATGAATTGATGAAATTTCAAATGGCGCAGGAATTGTGTGTTTTGAAATGGATATATACTAATTTATTTGTTTCATCGTCTTAGCATGAATGAAAAAATTCAAAATTAATTCACTGGTAGTTTTTCAGTATAGATTTAACGATAATGTCGTTTTAAAAAATCAGTGGTCTTCCCCCTTGTTAAATATTCCAACAATGATTCTTCTTATTGTTCAAAAACGTATTCCCAACAAGGGGTTGGCAATTTTTAATCTCACAATAAGATATTACAAACAATGTTCTTTGTATATTATAATATCGGCATATCAAATGAAATACAGGTGATTGATGCGATAAACTAACCCAACATTGGTTTGCAAGCTAATTGATCTTTCATTCCGGAATATTCACACAATATCAATATTAAAATTCCACTCTCTGTTAACATGATACTCAACTTTGGGAATTTAAGCTTTTTGGTAGTCAATATCATTTGATCTTTCACTTACATCGGTTGCAAGTTGTCCAACATTTTGTCTGTCAAAGTTTCGGACATGGCGATGAGCTTCCTATAATCTATAGTGGTGGGGTAAATCTTCTCTTCTATGACCTTGGACGTGCAATTGGCAAAGGCCGTCGACACGTGTATGACGGCTTCGAGTCTGGACATCCCGCTGGCCAGATGGAGGATGTCCTGGGTAGCTCTCACGTTGATGGCGATGGCAGTCTTCAGTTTTTCGTCAAAGCGGACAGTGGCGGCAACATGGAAGATTATGTTCACCTGAAATTGAAATCAAAAATGCATCTAGATCTCATATGAGATCATCTACGAGGTCAATGATAATTATAGTATATTGAAGAACATGTGCATGAGTTCTAAATTAACTTGTACCTGCTTGAATTTATTAAAACCCAATATGTCATAGGTATTTTCAATTGAAAACGTTTATTCGAGAGATTGAATCAAGAAGTTTTGCTTGAAGAATTGAAATATACATTCCCCGACAATAAATTCCGGCAGTGAAATTGTCATACCGATTCAGTCACATAGCAGAGTGAATTTTGCCATCACAAAGAGATACAGGATGGACAAAAAAAAATCTATGCATTTTTTAAACATTGACAGTTAAGTTCATTAAGTATAGCTACTTAAAAAAGATATTTCAAGAAAAAATAGTTGGTGACCATGCATTGTTCTTTGACGTAAGCGTTGAAATCTGACGAAAAAGTACAAAAAATGTAGTAAAATAATTAATTGGTAGCATAGTGATTTGTTCTCGTGGACTGGAGTTTGACATACTATGACGGAAAGTTTAATTAATTAATAATTTGCATGAAAAAGTTGAAACTTTGATATATTCATGTTTTTATAAGAATTGTTTATATTTGTTCATGATATAAATTGAATAAACTAGAGGATTAATATAGCAGATGAAGAATTATGAAAGCAAGAACATTTTAGAAGTCCTGTGAAGTTTTAAAAAGGCAACTTTTTTACTGAGAATCGAGTTGACGAATGAAGATGAAACACTAATTCCATTTGGAATTCATGAAAAATTGTATATTCGTATATTTTCCAATAGATATATACTTTTTGAGCATTAATCGTTCACAGTGATTTCATAATTGATTTTTCTTGGTGATGGCGCTTTTTAACGAGAATAACGAACTTTTTTCATAGTCGAAAAACATGATTGTAATCATTTTTTCACGTCAGGTTTATGAACATTCTGTCAGTCAGCCATTTATTCGAAAGGGAAAATTAGAATATAGAATGAATCATGATCAACTTTTTTATAGCTATGTATACTGTATTTTATTAACATAATAATAAGTAAACAAATTCTAATACAGCTACATTCACATTCAGCTATAGCTATAAATAGTGAGGGTATTGCCATTCTTCTTATCTTTCTCTCTAGGTAATAACAAATAACTCATCGAGTATTCGCAACGTATATTGTAAGATCTGCAAGGTAACTCACGGAAAAATCCGGGCGGTATTTGAAATGAATAATTCATGATAATGGACAGGAGTCATTGATCAACTGCATACGACACGCATTTGCACAATAGTACATTATGTAAAACGTTCATCCACAGTCGAACATGAAGTACTTCAAAGCACATGACATTTGCTTTACGTCCACTTGACGTCTATAATTTCATTTGATTTTAGTTTAATCAACATCCATTGTTTGTACGAAGATGAACGTAGATTGAATAATTCAAATTGAACTTCAACAACTATTTCGAGCTCTATAACATTTATGGACGCAGTATCAATATCGATTTTGAGTGCAACGTATACATTGGAAGTTCAAAAATGATCGTAGTTTGAAAGTTCTGTCGAGTTTCAACGTCCATAGACGTTAAATTGCAATGAAAAAAAAAACGCAAATTTCCTGATGTTACATTGTCATTCGAATCGTTATCACATTTTGAAGCGTCAATTGAGACATCATTGCAGTTTGAAACTATTCTTTCGACGCCATCAACAGAATTTGTTTGTTTCTAGATATGTTCATCTGCAAAGTAAATAAAAAGTCAATAATTGCAGTTTTGAAGCAGTTCTATTCGAAATTCAGTATCATCACCTTACTTACATAATATATCAATCCGTGATAGGTTCACAGAATAACATGAAAAAACTTTGAATAATTGAATCTAAATATGTTTTGGCATAAACGCCTCATATTTTTTTCCTCAAAAACTACTATTTCGGATGATTTAAATTTCATTTGAACTAGAAGTTCGTGCAGCTAGTTCAACAAAGTATCGTTAGCAAATTCTCAATTTCAGAAGTTTTTATATTTTATTTTCAAACTCTTATCGTGTGTGTTCAATAGATATAATTCAATGTTCGTCGTGGCATATAGCCAGGAAAGTAGTTGTTTTCTATTGAATCAACTGAGAAAGAGTAAATATTCTCATCACATAGAGAATGCGAATTCTCAATGTATTGCTTTATATAAATATATATCCATTTTTGTATGTTCATAATTTGTCTGAGAATATTCGTTTCAACACTTTCATATGAATCAAATATTACTTTTACTGTGTTCTCACAAGCAAAGCACCTTACCCCATTGAATGCTCACGGGCAACTGGCATTTGTGCTGTTTGAATTACATTGAATGAAGCCGAATATGCCGTTTCGACCATTGGATGCAGAATGTGATTTTGTGATTACCTATTTTCCAGTACAAAGTAGTAAAAAGCGATCATTTTGGCGTTTGTGTCGTTTTGGCATGGACGCGAAGATATCGAGAATCAGTCGCATGAAATGTATGCTTCGAATTTGATTTACCCGGAATAGCAAAACAACGTTTACGGAGTCAGCTAGTGAATAAATTAAAAAACTCATTGTCGGCCAACTCACCTCATCCTGTAGGAGTTTCTTGTCATGCACTGACAGCCCCAAATCTGGCAACGAACAGTCCCCAGCCACTCCCACCACCTTATGCCTGAATTTCGGGCTTTTCCGCCTCAGCCTATCGAATATGGCGTCGTCGAATATCTCCTCGACCCTCGTGTGCAAATTCTTGCCCTTCTTGTTCCTCACCAGCACGTACAGGGTGGACACTTCCGGGCAGGACCGCAGCAGCTTCTCCAGCAGTATCTTGCCCAAGAACCCGGTGCTGCCTGTGATGAACACGTTGGCCCCCTTGTAGAACTCCTGGATCTCGGTGGGACAGTACTTGTCGTCGGCCTCCTCGATGCCGCTGACATCGTCTGGTACTATGGTGTCCATGATCAGGGGATCTGGAAAGGAACACAACATTCATTTAAGTTAGGTTAGGTTAGGTTGCAAGTGAGGGGGTCCGTTGTGGCTTCAACCAATGCATACTTGTAGCACCCTGTATTATAACAAGTGAGGTACGTAGTTTTTGAAAGGTATCAGATTAGTATAGATGTAGATTTCATTAGGTATTAGATTAGTATAGGGGTCAGATAATTTATACGACGCTATAAAAGCAGATGATATTTCATCATTGCTCATGTAAGATGGAAGTAGAGGCCATGGCACCATATCATGAGCATATATTCATATTGAAACTATCATTGGGCACCAAAGATGTGTATACGACGCTATGAAAGTTCAGAGAACTGGAGACTTTTCCCACAAACTACGTACTTAGCCCACTCGACTGTCTTGGTTTTTCCACACGAACTACGTACCTAGCCCACTCGACTGCTAATAGGGACTAAAAAAACAAAAACAAAAGAAAGTTAAAACAATGCCAACATATATCTTCTTTGTGGAAAATCAAGACAGTCGAGTGAGCTATGTACGTAGTTTATTGGCGAAAAATCAAGGCAGTCGAGTGAGCTAGGTACGTAGTTTACGGGCAAAAAATTAAGACAGTCGAGTGAGCTAGGTACCTAGTTTATTGGCGAAAAATGAAGACAGTCGAGTGAGCTAGGTATGTAGTTTATGGGAAAAAAATCAAGACAGTCGAGTGTGCTTTTTTTACTTTCTTTTGTTTTTTGTTTTGTTTTCTATTGGCAAGTGATTATCTAGGAACTTGTTAATTTTTTAGTTTTTTCATCGTATCTCCCGAACTATTGAATTCAGAGAAAAATGTTAGACGGATTTTTTGTAGATTCTATCAAAAGGAATAATTTTGGTTCCTTAACATTTTCAGATATTTTCAGTTGTTTTCGAGATATTTGGAATTATCTGAGAATACAATTTTCAACACTTTTGTTCCATCTTCCAATCAACAGAAGGAAAAAATATTTCATGGTTCAGTGGGAGTCGATGAGCTTCATCTATCGATAATCTTTGTTTTTCAATATATCTTCATGGTACCCTATGGGTCGTTCAAATTATTTTTTTTTCATATTTTTTACTCTATTTCCTGTACTATTGGGTTTACAGAAAAAATTATGGGTGATAATTTGTAGGAAATGTTCCAGTGGATAACTTTGCACTTCTGATTATTTTCGATTTTCCCATTTGTTTTCGATATATATTGAATTGAAAGGATTTCAAATTTTGATGTTTTGATTTTCATTTGTTTCTCCATTTTCCGATGGATGCACGAAAAAATGGTTGAATAATAATTTGTTGCGTCATCAAATTTGTATTTAGTCTATTGGTTCAGGAGATATGTCGTTTTGAAGCGAACCGTGTGTTTCGGAAAATCTCCTTGAAAAACCCACTTGGAATTTTCCGACCCTGCTCAATTTCAATAGGCTTCGTCTCTCTATGATAGAGTTTTTTTTTCACAAAAATTGAAATCGATCGGACCACTTTTGCGATTTGTAGAGTGGTTACAAGAAACTTCCGGTGAAAAATCGAAAAAACCCGGAAAAACCACCTTAGAGTTTTCCGATTTCCTTCATATTTTAATGACATAATATTGTTTTGAGTACAATAAGATGGCAAAATTTCAAGTCGATATGTCTAAGGGTTCCGGAGATATATCGATTTATGATTAACACAGAGTACAGACAGACAGACAGACAGACCACACACAAAAACCAAAGTTGCTCAAAATTCGATGGGGATCATTTTCTCCAAAGTAACTATACCTCTATCTCGCTTAGTTTCCGAGATAGCATTTTTGGCAAGGCCGTAGTATACTCCACTATGTATAGCGTCGTATAACAATGGAGATAAAAGAGAATGCTTGTCAGTTCTGTAATGAATGTCAGTAGATATTAAATATTGATTCTTGCATGGAGCTTAATTTATAAAATAAGCACTAAAACAAAGTAGATCCAGCTTCTTAATGAAGCCGATGAGTTTACTTGGTTAGTCATCTTTCAGGGCGAGACTGAAACCCTGCCAAAAAGCGAAAACCTGATTGGAGCCGTGGCGGGGCAGGCACAAAGTATTGCTGTTTCATCGTCTTCAAGATAGAGACGTTGGAACATCCGACAGCCCAAGTCTTGACATGTGATAATTCAAACGATAGTGACCTGTAAGGAGGCCGATTAGAAAGCGTAGGTCATCCCTGCTGTATTCTAACATTTTTCTCGAAGAATGTATGCCTTGGAATGAGCCAATTCTGGTAGATCCTGCCAGAAGTATGAAACTCTTCTTGCAGTCTAGGTATTCAGTGTGTGTCTGGTGGGATGCCAATGCCATTATTAATTAATTGCCAACATTCATTTGCTGAATGTGGGCGTGTCTGGATTTCAAATCATTTGCTGCAAAGATACAGCAAGAGGTGACATTTGAGAGAGAGATGGAATAAATCTTATCAAACTAGACTTTCAAACTCGAATGTAGGAACTAACATTCCTCTAGAGGCACTATGTTGCTAATCTGAAATCAGCAATGGCAAAGGTAGATTTATCTGTGAGCAACCCCTTTCGGGGTGTATTTGCTGAAGGTGGTCGTGTCTGGATATCAAATCATTTGTTGCAGAGATACAGCAAGGGTTAATATTTTAGTAGGAGATGGAAATAACTATATCAAACTAGAATCTTCAAATTTGAATGTAGGAACCATTATTCCTCTAGAGATATTTGACTGAAATCAGCGATAGCGAAGGCAGATTGCTTTGTGATTAGACACTTTCTTTTTGAGTTAGTTTCGATTTCTCATTCACATTGAAAAAAATTATGTGAACAATTTCCTAACATGTGTTTTTCCAATCTGTGATAATGATTTATTGGTAAGAAAAACAACATAGATGAATGATAATTTCTTTACAGTCGGCTGTTTCTCATGATCGTGATTGAATTCGGAAATATAATTTCATATTAGTCAGATATATGGAGATGTATTGAGTCGTATTGATAGATATGACTGGAATAGATAATCTTGGCCTTTACCTCATCATCTGATCAAAGATAACTCAACCTTCAATCTGTTATCCGATGATGAACAAGACAATGTCTGTTGCACTATCACTATCATATCATATATATATCATATATACTGCTGCAGTGATTCATTGAGGATTCTTGTGAAAATCAACTATACAGTGAGCACATAAAGGTTGAAACAAATCCGTTGAAAGCTTGAAATGGCCATTGGGGAAAAGCTCAGATACGTCAATTGCCTTTTTCAGTATCAGTGCAATAGTTTGTAGTTTCTTATTTAGTACTATTGTCATCTCGTTTATTTCTAGAACATACGGTTTCGTGATATGAGAAAAAAATTCAAGATTGTTAACAGTAACATACCTACTTTTCACCTTGACAATATGATCCAAGAATAAATGTTCGTACTCGAGGAAGAAGTATCTTAGGGTCAGGGTATCGGTATCCCTTGGACTTTCAAAATAATTCCTCAACTGGCATCTAAACTTAGAGTCAAGAACGAACATTAAATGATAGGTACATGTGGACAAGGTATCATGCATATCAACAAATAATATAATTATTCAGGAAAAGAGCTGTCCTCACAAAATCAAAACCAGCTGCATACAGAAATCCTCAGACTTCCTTGCTAGTTAGAGAGCACCCGATGAAAACGTCGGAAGAACGTTGAAGGCACCAGCCCACAGATGATGTGATAAGTACAAGGAAGCAGCATCATCACAATTCATCAATTTTATTATTGTTTACAAGTCGATGACCTCCTAGTATTCACATAAAATCACGAGTTCGATATGATTTGAATCAATTCTTTATAAATAGCATTTGAGGTAGGTATGATCTTTTATTGATTATAGCGGAGATTGGGATGAAACCGATAAACTCGTAATTTCATTGTCTTCAACTTCTCCAATGACATACATCATCAGATTATGAGTTTGAATTTTGAATAATCGGGAATACCAATGGAACAATGTGTGAAATGTGTTTTTCAGGTGGATTGCCTTGACAATAGCTACCGGTAGTAGGTATACCTACGGAAGTATCAAACAGTGAATTCAGGATTCATCTACACCTAATCTTACAATAAATAATGAACTTAAGTTATATTGAATGATATTGATCATAGGAAGACCTTGCTTCTGGAGTTTGCGATTTTAATAAATCTGAAGGATATCTAGTTTCATCTACTCCGTATCTATAGATACATAAATTCAAAATAGGAAAAGATATTTGCCATTGAAAATATGTGTGAAAATTGAGCACTCATTTTAAATGGAATGAAATAATTGTGTTTGAAATATGAAGTGAGCCAAAGTGGTCAAAAGCTGATATAATAGTTATTGTAATTTAAAGGAAATATGGAGGAAAAAGTTCCAATCGTTTTATACCTGATGATGATGTACACTGATTTTCTAGATAGTCACTTTAAAATGATTTGAAATTATTTATTTTAATCACAGATACCTAGCATACTCTCGCTAGAAGACGGTTGTACTACAACATTATACATTGAAGGATGTATGTGCACGCTGCCCCAGTCGTTCTTTCTGCCCCAGCTCACTTGTGGAGTGAATGAAGTGGAAAACCATTATTTATTTATTATGTTATGTTTATATGTTTATTCAATTAGCATTTTATTAAATTTATTTCGTTGAAAAAAATAAAAATCTTGAATATGTTTTTTTTCTATTCTAGACTGGAACATGAAAGAGCAGTCAACTGGGTGAATATCTGACTCATCTATATGCAGGAAATGCTGGTACAAAAATTCAATTTGATTTCCTGTTATTTTTTGAGTAACCAACTTTCCATAGACAAACGGAACTAGCTGAGATCTACACACTTGACCTCAAAGAACTTGCAATTATAATTATTATTGAATATTGAATGCAGGACCTTATTCAAGAATTTGCTCTAGCTGAGTAGCTGTGCTGTCGAGCTTTGATAACAATAATATGATTTCATTTCATTTGATCCCTCTA